GGGCTAAAGGGCATATTTTAATAGGGTAAGATACCTGAGGTGTGTGGTTCAGGCTCTGCTGATGTCCTGCTGGCAGAGCAGATTCAGAATTTTGCTCCCCTGCTGCAGCAGTGAAGTTGGAATAACCTATCCCACTTTTTCCTGAAGGACTTTCCTGATGGTATCTCTGCAGTGTCCTGGCCAATTTTGTTCTTATTTGACTTTTTGCAGTAGTGAAAGTCAAGCTAGCAAACACCAGTTTATCAAAAAAAGAGCTGTGGACATCGTCCTTCTAGGCCAGCCCTGGCTGCTCACTGCTGAGAGTGGCCAGAGTTCTGGAAAGCTGCAGTTGCACAGGACGGCTGTGTTTCTGCTTCCCAGCCTGTTCTGCCCTTAGATTCAGTTTTTATGATTTGTTTCAGTTCCTGTACCAATTATAATGTGTCTTTCATTATTGTCACAGAACAATTGCAACAGCCTTTTCTCTGCTGCTGTGGGTTTTGCTCGTGAAGACTGTCCTTGGAGTCACGTCCCAGGACACAGAGGATTTGAATAAGAGAACCAGTCCTTCCCCTCGCCATGAGAAAAGGTCGCTATTTGCATCACCTTTCTAGGCTTCCCCCTGTTTTTGTGGCTGGCTGGTTTCCTTGGGTCTGGCGGGTGGTTTGGTTCGGCAGCATGGGGAGATCTTTATCGATGGGGATCTCGCTCGACTCCACAGGCCTGAGGTGAAAGCCCACACAGCTGCGAGGCGAGCTCCCGGCAAAACAAGCCTGGCTCTGGCAGGAGCTAGAGGATTTGGGCTCTGTCGGGAGGTTTCTGCTCATGAGAGGGTGCCCGGCGGATCACAGCCGAGCAGTCCGGCCTTGGGGAAGGCAGGCGGCCGGACGGCCCCTGCTCTGTAACCGGGGGGAGTAACCAGCTGCCTTTGATGTCTGAGCTGGGCTGAGCAAACCTGACAGCAGACTTCAAAGTCTGTTGCGCCAGCTCCCCTGATTATCTGTAGGCTTCTGGCACGTCCCCCAAGACTGCCAGATTATCCAGGCTAATGCTGTGCTCTTCGCTGCGTTCTCCGCCCTGCCTGGCACCAGCCCCTCGCTTCTCAGGCTGCAGCCTCCATCCCTCCCTCTGTCACTATAGGGATGTGGCAGTGGCATTTCTGGGTGGGGGACTTGTCTCCTGAGATCAGTGAAACAAAGAGAGTGGAAACACTTTTGGAGAGCTTGCCTATAGCCTCCACACCTGGGCTGTATTCCCCTTCCCTGTTTGGTTACAAGAGCAGCCTGAAATGCAGGGACCTCACTGTGCTGCCCTTTACAAGGCCCTGAGGTGTTTACAACCAAGCAGGTACCATGTGTGTGCTTCCCCAAAAAGCCTTTGGGGAGCAGGGCTTCCATCCATGCTGATCCAGGGCAGGTTGTGTGAGCTGAAGGGTGAGGTGGGGCTGGGAGGGGAGGGCTGCGTTGTCTTTGCCCCCTTCAGTCTCTATGCTAGGACCTTGCAGCCTCAAACTAGTGTCCATCTCCCTCGCCACCTGCACCTTAGTGCTTGGGGAGCCCCGGCGTGCTCATCTGTGTGAGTAGACATGCGGAGGGCGCAGGCCACTGCTGAGGGCTGGCTGAGTAGTGTCCCCAGAGCTCGTGCTCCTCCTAGAGCAGCTTGCTTTCACCTGGGATGGTGCACAGCAATGCCAAAAGCTCATTTGGAACCTTCCTTTTAAGAGGCAGGTTTTTTTTTTTTCTGAGAGGAAGCAACCTCAGCCGTGGCTGAAAACCCTTCCTGTGCAAAGCTGGATTTGTCAGAGATGTGATTTGAGGTCTGAGCTTCTTTAGAAGTTGAGGTGTTTTGCTACTTTTCCAGAGGCAGGATTGGGCTGTCCTCTGCTGCAGTGGTCGGAAGCCAGCAAAGAGAGTGGTGGCTGTGAGCAGAGGAGACGGGCATTGTCCACTGCTCAGGAGCCTTGCTCCCTAACCCCAGGCACCCAGATGGGGTGAGGGAGCACACGGGGGCCATATCTGGGCCCTAGACAGGGGATGTGGGCTGCAGCTTCTCCCCTCTGCTTGCCTAATTGCTTTTGGCAGTCTGTTTCCTCTGAAAACCAACACTGACCATGGTGTCACCTCCTTCATCCTCAACATGATGGATGCTTCCTCTGTAGCATTTCTACCCTACTTGTGGGAGGATCCTGCCTTACCCCCATGCCTCCCTGGCTCCTTGAAGTGTGCAAGGGGAGCATCTGGTCAGCAGTTACCTGTTCAGGATGTGTCAAAGTCCCTGTGAATCTTGCAGATTGTTGCTGTGCTCTTTTAGGTAGAGTCTAGCTGTACTCTGGCTGCAGTGGGCTTGGTAAAGCTGTATTTTTGGTGGACCTTTTCTGGAAAGATTTGGCTCAAAGTGGCTGAGCAGCATGCAGAAAGGGTGCTCACAAAGGGATCTAGGGAGGCAGAGGGACGGAAAATGGGTATGGAGGCATGCAATTAAAGATGGTCATCACCCATGTGAAAGCCAAGGCCAGTGCTGTGGGCAGCCAGACCGCTGGCCTTGTAGTCTGAAGCAAGAGATAGTGAGACCCCGCTGGAGTGTGCTGAGAGGTAGCCCTGCTGCTCAGGTTCTGGCAGTGGCCAGGCTGTGCTCAGGGTTGGGGGACAGTAGGGTTTAACCCCCATGGCCCTGGTGCAGCCCCTCAGCTCACCAGGTGAGGTGTGTGGGCACTGCCTAGCTTGGAGGAGGCAAGTCCTCTGCTCCTGTCGGTATGGCCAGGGATCCTCAATGCTGTCCAAGGGGTGTATTTTCCCGTTGCTTCCTGTCCTGTGTCTTCCTCAGGAAAATGGAGCAAAAGAATCTTTCTCCCTATGGGTCTGGCTTCCTTGACGTGGTTTCTAACAGCAGTGCTGTCTTCATAAAAAGCTCTGATTCCTTTCCTTTACCCTGCCTTGTGTGCTTAATAGCCCTGCCATGTGTCTGGTTGCACTGATTTCCCAGGGAGGAAGAGAGTAAGTTTTAGACTGTGCAGTCCTGGGACGAGGCAGCCATTGTTTTTGTCCACAGAGGAGCATCACTGCCAGCGATACGCCCAGGCCAGGCAATCCAATTCTCCCCAGCTTCTCTGCTGCAAGTGCAAACAGCGACTCATACATCCTTAGGGTTGCAAGCTTGGAGTTAAACTGTCCCTGTGCGTGTGTTTATCTGCACACTGACTGTAGGAAGCTCGCTGATGTTGAACTCCAAGTTTCTTTTCCATTTACTCTGTGGCTGTAGCCGAGATGCTTTTCTCGCCTCTGCAGTGGTAAGCGGGTTGGCTTACTGTCAGCAGGATCATCTCTGGGGCACTGCTGGCAGAGTTGCTCTTGGAAAGCAAACCCCTTCATCCCTTGCTCTGAGACAGGAGGATTTCATCCTGCAGCAGGGAGCAGAAGCCTACCACGCAGTTATGGCTATCTGTGTGGCTGTGTCCTGCTGCTGTGAGATGTGGGCCCTCCTCACCAGCAGTCATACCAGGGTACTCCACTGCTTGCCAGCCCCTGTCCTAGCTGCTCACTTCCTCTCTGGAAGCAGCACCTGGGTTTCAGCCCTGTGCTGCACCCTCTTTCCCCAAAACAGGTGCTGCCCCTCTGCTTCGTTTCATTGGAACGAGGGTGGGTGGCAGGGAAGAGGTGAGCTCCTGCAGGGACCTCTCTGCCTGATGTGACAGCCTGTCCCCTTGGCCTGGAATTGGCTTTCTGGAGAGCTGCATGGTGCTACGGGAGCTGTGCTGATGGAGGTGCAAACCTTGCAGCGAGGAGTATCTGTCTCCTGGCCCCACAGGCTGTCATGTGAATCAGTTTGTTAAATGGAGAAAGGAGGGGCCTCGTGTTTGGTTTGGCTCATTACATGAATCTCGTTCCCTCTAGGAGTCCCATGGGATCAAGCAAAAGGACTTGTTTTACAGCTAGTTTTTGCTTGTGAATCCCTGAGCTAATTTAGTCATTGGGTTGATGCCCCATCAGCATGGCTCAGGGGTAAATGCTTTGTGCTGCCATCTCTTCTGATCACCCCATCCCCCAAAACAAAAACAACATCCAAAAAAACCCCAAAATCCAAAGCGAAGTGCCCTAGCTCCCCACAAAAACCCAAACCAGTCCTTTCGGAGAGTGTTTCTGGTTTGAGCCTCTCGCCATGTTTGGCCACATGGGTTTTCCCACCGGGGTGAGTGCCTGTCAGCCTCTCACCATGTCCCTGATGCCTGCCAGCCAGAGCAGCCCGGTGCCCCAGCCCACAGGGTGCCATGCAGCAGCCCATGCAACCGCAGCGCTTGCCTCTGGGGCTGTGGCCAGCAGCAGCCTGGTCTTGGCCCTCCCCAAGCAGCTCCTGGTGGTCTCATCACCCCTGCAAGGGGTACTGGGCCAGGATCCTCTGCATCGGGGTGTCTGCCCATAGGGTTTGCTTACAGGAGACAATTTCTGGCTGTGTGGTGATGCTTCAAGAGCCGTCAAACCATCTGGGCTGGGCTGGCTGTCACTGCCCATGTAGCTGGTGGGCTGGTAGGAGCACTGTGCCAGCCTAACCCATACCCGAGGTATTGTGCTGCTGTCCGCAGTTATGGAAAATAAATAGCTGGGGGGAAGCTTAAGCCCTAGAAATCTGCCCCCAGCCTTCCCCAGAGTCTGGCCCGTCATCCCCTGTGTTAGCAGGGAGCAAGGTACTCCATGCAGCAAAGTGGGAGGCGGAGGGTTACCTGTGAGATGCTGTGGGACAGCAAAGCCACAGCCAGCAGCGCTTGGGTACCTGGCACACACACAGCAATAGGAGGGGCCTTGGGCATCACCCTTGGGCCTGGGGTGCCAGCTGTCACCTCCCAGGGGCGTTACTTTGCTGCTGCACCCTGCTCCCCATTCTCTCCCCACCGTTTATACGTAGAGGAAGCTGCCACCGCTGGGCAGCTTCCTCCCAGCTGCTTTCAAAACAGCAGGGTGGCTGTCGCCATCACCCACGAGAGCCCTCCGGCACCCCTCGGGGAGAGGACCCAAACAGTGCTCTTCACTATGGGGCTGCTTCAGTGCCTGACGGCTGCCTTCCTCCTCCTCCTCCTCCTGGGTGAGTGCTCTGCGCCTTGGAAGGGGCTTTCCTGGGGCAGGCGAGGGGACATAAAGCACCTTCTTGGTGGAGATGGGACCTTTGTGGGTGGGTGGCTCAGCAGGGCACCTAGCTGGGTCTGCATGGCCAGGATGGCGCGGCTGTGGCTAGCGCTTCTCTGGCTCGGTGGCCATGGGAAAAGGTGCAGTGGCATGTTCTCATTTCAGCACTGTGGTGTCACTCCAGAGCCCAGACCCTGGCTGGGTTTCAGTGAAGGGACATGCACACCCCTGTTGCGTGGCCACTGGGTGTGCGGAGCAGGTTACCTCAAACCCCCCCTTCCCTTGGGAGGGGTTTTCTGGGTTATTTTCAGGCTTTGTTGCCACCAGCTCTCCTCTCTGTCCCAGTTTCCATGGCATGGTTGTTTTTTGACTCGGTGCCCACTTATTGTGGGCATTTTTCTTGGTGTGCGTGCTGGGTACCAGAACAGAACAAGTCACCAGTGGAAGCCGTGTGGGAGGAGAGGGTGCACGGGCGGCCATCACTTCCCTAAACCCTCTGCAGGCAGAAATGGAGGGAGCGCCTAATGCCTCCCATTGTGTCTTGCTTTTGGAGGAGCTTTTGCTGACCCCCTCTCCCACACCCTCCCATCCATGGAGCACCCCTGCAGCACTCTGCCTGCTGGTTCCCTACGCTGTTTCATATCCCTTGGTTGCTGCGTTGGATCTTCTTCTGTAGCAGTGGTCAGCTCTGGCACCTGCTTCCTCCCCCCTTCCCCCCCACATCTTGTGCAGGACTTGAGTGCTCAGTCCTCTTAATTTCAACACACCACAAGCTTCCTCCGGTGATCTCAGCCTGGTTGCGGCTCCCTCTGAGCAGAAAGCTGAGAGATGCTCTGCAGCCATGAACAGTGCTTTGGCTGTGATGCTCTGATCCCTTGTTGGGTTACCTAGCGTGCTAAGAGACAAGACAGTTTGGAGGCCTGTTGTTACGGGACTTGTTCGTACAATTCCAAGGGGTGAGAAGTCCTTTGGACTCTGCCCTTAAAGAAGGAGGCTGCACAGTGATTCTTTTTAGTACTGTATTGCAGTCCTGTGCTCATCCTGACCCACTGCTGGTTGGGGTGGGCAAGCCTCCTGTAGTGTGCAGCCCTCCTGTAGCATACAGCCCTGCAAATACCCCGTGTGCCGACTGTTTGCCAGCAGGTTTGAGCACTGGCCAATGGGTGGTGACCGTTCAGAAGGGGCCCCTCTACCGCACGGAGGGGTCCCACGTCACGCTGTGGTGCAAGGTGAGCGGCTACCAGGGCCCGTCGGAGCAGAACTTCCAGTGGTCCATCTACCTGCCCTCGGCCCCTGAGCGGGAGGTGCAGATCGTCAGCACCGTCGACCCCTCCTTCCCCTACGCCATCTACACCCAGCGAGTGCGCAGCCGGGGCATCTACGTGGAGCGGGTGCAGGGGGACGCCGTCCTGCTGCACATCACCGAGCTGCAGGACCGGGACGCCGGGGAGTACGAGTGCCACACGCCCAACACCGACGAGAGGTACTTCGGGAGTTACAGCGCCAAGACGAATCTCTCAGGTGGGTCCTGAAAGAGCCCTGCTCCCAGATGGGCAGGGGTGCAGGCAGGTTTCTGCTGCCCCCACCTTTGCGCTGGAGCAAGTGCTTGTCATTGGGTCTTTGACAGAGGGGCGCTCAGGGAAAGGGGGGATTAATGGGACTGGTGGGCATAAACACTGGAATTGCTATCCTACCCCAGGTGGCCAAGGTAGGGATGCCTAGATGTCCCCTTGCCAGTTGCTCTGGCCGTTGCCTCCCAGCCAGGGCCAGGGAAGGGACAGGAACCTTCTGCTGCCCTGTGGCTTGACTTCAGCTCCTGGCGCAGCCCCAGCATTTCACAGCTAAGCACTTAGGAGGGCAGGAGCTTCCAGGCTTTGTGCGTTAGCTGTTGGTGCCCTCTCAGGTCAGGGTGTGGGGCTTGACCCAAGCGGGATACCTGCAGATGCAGGGCAGTAGCAGCTCCTGCAGAGCACTGGGAGAGGGGAGGCAATGGCAGGGAGAGGCAAAGGGCAAGGCCCTATTACGAGCCTACCAGGTCTACACGGTGGTATGGTACTTCCACTTAGTGTTACCCCTGTTTCCTCCTCCATCCTGGTGTTGTACCAACTGCACTGGGGATTGTGAGGGGCTGGATGTTAAATTCATTGGGGTTGCCTGATTAATAATACTGCCTGTAGTTTGAAAAGGTTGCTGCAGAAAGGTTCACTGTACTTTCTTCCTTGCTGAGGTTTCAACCACTTTACACCTTGGTGTAAGCTGATAGAAGCCTCGCAAGCAACAGGAGCTATTTCTCCTACTCTGTCAGATCCCTTAGGTCCTGTCTGTGGTTTTGTAGTGGCCAGCAGGTTGCCCATCGAGGCCAAGAGATGATTTTTCCTCGTGGCCAACTGCCCTCTGTGTTTCTCCCCCATGCTCAGTGATTGCAGACACCCTCTCGACTTCCATGGCGCCCCAGGTCCTCACCCGTGCCGAAGGGGATGCGGTGGAGCTCACCTGTGAGGTCTCCAAGTCCACTGCACAGCACACACATCTCTCTGTTGGCTGGTACCGCCTTCAGGGAGCAGGAGAGCACCGCGCCGAGGAGGTCCTCACCCTCTCCAAGGACTTCGTCTTGAGGCCGGGGCCCTCTTATGCACAGAGGTTTCTGGCGGGGGACGTGCGGCTGAACAAGGTTGGGAACACCACGTACACGCTCTCCATTGGGGGAGTGCAGCCACCCGACCAGGGGCAGCTGTACTGCGAGGCGGCCGAGTGGATTGAGGATCCAGACGAGACGTGGAAGGACATCTCCCGCAAGCAAACGGGGAGGACGTCGCTGGTGGTCATGAGCCAGGGTAAGGTCCTTGCTAGTTCCCACGCTGGCTCCAATTCCCTTGTACATTCGAGTCTGTATAGCAGCACCCTTCGGTGGCCTTGGCCTGCTGCAGCCTGGGGACCCACCGGGGAGTCTGGCTGCGTCCATCCGGCGCTGAGGGGGACAGGCTGGGCTCCGGGCCATGGCAGCACCTGGCTTGGGAGCTGTTGGTGCTCCTCGCTTTGGAGGCTGACATAGCTGAGTCTCTGATGGCGGCAGTGATCGTGCAACCTGCCAGGTTCACGCGAGGTGTTAGCAGAGCGCGCAGCACACGCCTGTGGCAGCCAGACTCCTTGGCTGCAGTTAGCTCCAGCGTGCAGCAGAGTGGTGAGACTGCCTTGAGGGTCTCGTGGCCTCCAAAACTAAGGTACATAGCAGTCAGCTGCCTGTCATGGTGCCTCGGCCACAGGCATCGAGGGACACAGGGATGCGCTGCGTGTGCTGCATGGCTTTGGCGTCTGCTGGGGGTGGCCTGTCTGTCTGTGCTGTCATGAGTCTGCTGGCCTCTGGAGCAACTGGTGTTGCTGGTTTTTAGGCCACCCTTGGGTCTCCTCTGTAGTAGTTCAGATACTACTATACATTCATATATGGGGGTAAAGGGACTGTACGTCAGACTGCTTTGAAGTGGGTGCACCAAGCTCCTGGCTTATGCTCTGCATAAAATGCAGAAAATGTGGCATTAAGGATTTAGAAAGAAGAGACTTAGACCTGCTACCACATATGAGATGGATTAAAATAGAAAAGTTTGAAAAGCAGCCCCTTGCCAGTGCTGCCCATCCACCCCAGCTCCACTCTGTTCCTGTCAGGCACCTCCTGTCCCCTCTGCTGGGCAGCTTCCCGTGGCTCCTGGCATCTGCAAACACCTGCCTTGCCCAGGGCTAGTGGGAAAATCCCTGTCACCCTCCTGCCCCGGGATGATTACAGTGCTATGTGTTTGCTGCCGCTCCTCTGAGTGCCCTGCCCTCCATCCCTCCTGCTGCAACCCCTTTGCTGGTTGCTCATCCTGCTCTTCCTCCAGCTGCATGCAGGTAGCTGTGCCCAGAGGAAGGGAAAATCTCTTTCCCGCCAGTAAGTTTCACAGGAGCCAAGGTAAGGCTGTGTCTCAGTGACTCCCTTTAATGCAAGCAGTAGTATGCAATAAAGTAAAATAAAACATATGGGTTTAAACTGAAAGCGGGGAGGTTTAGATTAGATATCAGGAAGAAGTTCTTCCCGGAGAGGGTGGTGAGGCACTGGAACAGGTTGCCCAGAGATGTTGTGGATGACCCATCCCTGGAAGTGTTCAAGGACAGGCTGGATGTGGCTTTGAGCAACCTGGTCTAGTGGAAAGTGTCCCTGCCCATGGCAGGGGGGTTGGAACTAGATGGTCTTTAAGGTCCCTTCCAACCCTAACCATTCTGTGATGCTGTGATTCTAAGATAAAATAGGAGCAAGTCTGTCACGCAAAAGGTGCCTGGGGAGCTGGTGTTCATGTCCTCGTGCCTCCAGGCAGATGGAGGAGGCTGCAGAGCTGGGGTGGTGAAGGGAACCTGTGTCTCACGGGAGGGTGGTGAGTCAGAGCAGGAAACCAAAGAAACGGATGTATAAGGACTAAGCACCCCGTGTGCAGCACGGGGAGAGGCAAGGTACCAGGGCCCGGGAGGGGAGGGGAGTGCAGTGTCCCGTTTTCAGAGCCTGGTTCCCAAACCCCAGCTGATGGGCAAGGCTTTGTGCCCCTTACGACGCACCGTTTACAGCAGTGTCGTCCCATGCCTGCTCTGCCTGGCGAGCGATGGCAGA